TTAGGTAAGTTCCCAAAGTCACAGGTAAGGAAGTCTGCAGGCCAGGTGCCCAGGCTCTAACTCCACTGCGCTTCCTGCTCTCCACACGGTTCCACCTTCTTTTTTATTTTTTGAAAACATTACCCCTGCCCCATGCTGTGCCCAAGACACACTGTGCAGGAGGGGCTGCCTCCCTGGGGGATGCGTACTGGTGCCTGGCCGGATATCAGACATGTCGATGAGGGGGCCGGTGCTCTGGATGAGGGCCGGGTGGTGCAAGGAGACACCGGTACAGAAACTCTGTGGGTTGACAGCTTGGCTGAACTCAGCGTCCGCCACAGGGATGGTGGCCTTGTCATCTCCTGGAGGAAGAAAAACAATCAGCAGGACTCCTTCCCTCTGGGCACCGTCTTTAATCCTCAAATTTCTCTTTGTCTTTATCCAGTGAACTGCCAGGAAAATGATCCCTTAGACCAGCGGTTCTCAACCTGTGGGTCGAGACCCCTTTGACAGTCGAACGACCCTTTCACAGGGGTCGCCTAAGACCATCCTGCATATCAGATATTTACATTACGATTCATAACAGTAGCAACATTACGGTTATGAAGTAGCAACGAAAATAATTTTATGGTTGGGTCACAACATGAGGAACTGTATTTAAAGGGCCAGAAGGTTGAGAACCACTGCCTTAGAGAAGGAAACAGCTTTTTTTTTTTTTTTTTTTTTGGTTTGTTATTTTTGTTAATCCTCACCTGAGGATATTTTTCCATTAATTTTTAGGAAGAGTGGAAGAGAGAGGGAAAGACAGAGAGAAACATTGATGTGAGAGAAACACATCGATTTGTTGCCTCCTGAACAAGTCCTGACTAGGGCCCCGGCTGGGGAGGAGCCTGCAACTGAGGTATGTGCCCTTGACCGAAATCGAACCTGGGACCCTTTGGTCTGCAGGCTGACGCTCTATCCACTGAGCCAAACCAGCTAGGGCATTAACAGCTCTTGAGAGAAGCTGCAATGCATTGGAGGTTGTTGAGCTATTGCTAGGGCTTCGGTGAGAACCCCAGCACTGCTGTGAGGCCTTGGTGGCTGCCTGTGGTGTTGTGTGACCTGGGAAACACACAGGACAGAGAGCTTGTGGCCCCTGTCACTCACCTAACTGCTTGATGCCCTCCTTGTCCTCGATTAGCAGCTGGACCCTGGGGATGTCAATGTGTAGCCGAGGGCCCTGGGGGGGCCCCTTCACGGGGGTGTCAAAGCTTCGGTTGTTCTTGCTGTGGGGAGAAGGGCTACAGGTGGGTGACTCAGCAGCCATAAGGGGTTGGGGGAGGGTTTTTTGCAAAAACAGCGGGGATTGAAGCTTGTCCCCTGCAGTGGGGAAGAGAGAGGAGAGGAGAGAAGAAGCAACTATATGAAACCCACCTTATCAACATCTCTGCCAAACTCTTTGCATCTGCAAAACAGTAGAGAGAGGGGCTGGGTGAGAATGGACTTTGAGGAGGATGAGAATTGGAGAAGGCATGTGGGAGAGCTGAGACCAAGGCTGGTCTCTTGGGAAGAAGAGGGAGAACTGTAAGGACCTCTAGAACAGTCTAAAACATGTTTTCCTTTCCTCAGACTTTTATCTAATAGGAAGGTCCTTGCCAAAGGAGAGGGTATATAAAGAGCTCCATTTGGTTCCTGACTCTAATTAAACAAGGCACCAGAGCAGACTGGAAATGGGCATCAATGGTGGGTTTCTCCTTAGTTATCTGCTGGGGAGAGGAGAGAGTGGAGGATGCAGTAGAGGTGGTCAATGGGAAGCCCCAGATGACTATCAACCAAGAGGTGTCACGTCCTCCTCCAGGGCATCTATCCCCTAGAAAATCCATGGATGGATTTGGAGGGCCCTGCTTTGTTTCAGAGGGCCCTTGAGTAGGATTAGGACTCTCAGGGTAAAAATTGGTGAGTGAGGAGAAGCAAAGGTCCTGGTTAATCCATTAAACCCCCTGATAACAGAATGATCTGTCAGAGTGAATCTAGTTCCAGGCATGCATCCATCTACCACCCATTCATCCATTTATTATTGATCCAAATACCTGTCCATTCACCTGTCCAACTGGTCATACACTCATCTACTCACCCATCCAACTATTCATCCATCATCCACCAATTCAACTACCCATCCATTCAACCATCAGCCCATCCAACTATTTCTCCAACCATTTATTCAACTATGCATTCATTTACTTAACTATTCATCCAAACATCCATTCGTTTAACTATTTAACCATCCCTTCATCTTATCATCCTTCTATCCATCCAAATAAGCATCTATACAATCAAGCATCCCTTCAACCATCAATCTATACAACCATCCATTCACCCATCCAACCACCTATCCATCCATCCATCCATCCATCCATCCATCCATCCATCCACTCCTTCATCCATCTATCTATACCACCACCAATCCATTCAACCATTTATTCAGTAAACCTTTTATTCAACCATACTTCCAACCACATTTCCATCTATACATCCTTCCATCCAACCATCCAATCAATAATCTAACCTTCCATCCAACTATGTAATCACTCATCCAACCAGCTATCCATTCATCTATTCACCCATCTGTCCAGCAGCCATCCAACCATCCTTTGAACCATTCATTCATCATTCACCCAACTCCTAAACACCCTGGGCAGTGTCAGTCATTTCCTCTTCTGTGCTGCTATTGTGCCCTGGCTTCTCACATTAGACCGTGAACTCTATAAGGGCATGTTGTTCCTTCTTTATTCATCTTTTGATCTCCAATGTCTGCCAGATACTCAATAAATGTTTTCCAAATGAGTGGCGAACATCTATTAAGCAGCTAGTAGGTGTCAGACACTGTACAAATCGAGGCAAATCAGACCCATTCATGCCACGCTGCACTATTAGATGTGGGGACAGGGGATGATATTCAAAATATTTGAAAATGGGTGTGCATGGAAACTGTCCAGTCAGAAATGAGAGAGGCCCTAAAGAACCCTGCAGGCATGCTCACTAGTGGCTGGGCCCTGTGTGAGAGATCGGCACATCTAGGGTGAAAGGAGCAACATCTATTTACCAATCAACAAGGACATTTTAAAATCTTTTAACAAGCAACACGGCTTTCCCAGTGTGAGCCTCTAGAAGTCAGCCCTGGTTAGGACAGGCACAAAGTCCTGGGGGCACAGAGAAGGGACCAGTCAACATGAGGAGGTTTGGAAGGGTGGAGTGCGGCTCCTTTCAAGTGCACACGGGCACTCTCTCTTGTCCAGGGAAAGCTGTGAGCCAGGGAAGGTGGCCGGTGGGGCTGAGGGTCAGCGCTCCTGCCCAAGAGGCCACAGGAAGGAAACCCCCCCACCTCGCAGCCGCTTCAGCCGTTTCTCCTTCCTCTTCTTCCGTACGATGAAGAGCAGAGCCAGCCCCAGCGTGGCCAGGATGACGGGGCAGCCGATGGTGAACAGCTTCCTCACATCGTCTCCCTCGCCTTGAGCAGACTTGATGGGAGGGATGGTGCCTGGATGGGGGTGAGGAAGGCAGTCAGGTGTCCCTTATGAGTTGGGTGCTATGTTGATTCCCATGGGTGGGGGAGCCCTGGGACCGTTCTTTCTGCCCTCGTTCTTACGCTGACCTCCACTTCTTGGTGCAGAGCTCCTCCCCTCTGCTCCCCCAAATTCTGGTCCCATCAGGACAACCATGGACAGTGGGGTAGTTTCCACACTACATTTTGATATTAATGACTTCCTGAACCTGTTTCTCTTGTTGGAGTTCACATTCATTCTTAAAGGGTGGATGGGTGGGCTCAGATTCCCACAGCCAGCTGGGCAGGTGGGGTGGGTGGGGGAGATGGTGAGAATCTCAGTAGAGAGAAGTCAGGCGGTGGGATCCTGGGTTCTCTTCTCCAGATGAAGACAAAAGCTACTATGTACACCGCCTTCCCTCCCTGCTCCCCCTCCCATGGGCCGTGTCTGCTGGCCTTGGGCGCCTGCACGGAGCAGGAGGCAGCGACGTCTCCTGCTGACAGCCCTCGGCCGAGCCCTGTGCCTGTTTCAGAGCCTCCCTCAGAGTCCTCTCCTTCATGAGCCTTTCCTGCCTGAGCCATCCCCTCGCCGGGCAGACTTCGTCTAGCTGGTGACAATGTCCCTCTGAATGCAGCCTTCTGGACGCCTTTCATGTTTGTGTGTGTCTATGTGGGTGCACACGTGTGCATGTGTGTGCGTCATGTGCGAGGTGTCCCCTGTGGCAGACACCAGTTAGTGCTCACCGATACCCATGTGCTTGTGTGCATGTCCCAGCGACAGCCATGCGCCTCGTCCCGGACCTCAGAGCATGACTAGGAGTCAGGGGTGTCACCTCCTGGCCCAGGCCCCTGAGAAGTGGGGAGCCTTCTCCCTCTCTCCCTGGTTATCTTGGAGGTCACAGTTCAAGATGACAGAGCTAAAAGCTGGTGGCCAGCCAGCCCCCAGGAGACTGTATGGGCGCAAGAAACACATCTCCACCGACTCAGCCCGGGGCCGTGCCCATGTCTCTGTTACTGCAGCGAGACCCGCCCCTCCTGCCTCATATCCCGAGTCAGTAGCGGGTCTCAGAGGGCAGGGCCTCAACCGCACCTCCCTCCCCGTCTCTGAAGCAATGGCCGGCAAGGCTCCCGCCTTCAGAGCCCTAGTGTCAGACCTGTTTGTCTGCCTGTCTCTGGTGCACCGCCTGCCTGCCAGTCTGCTGCTGCCTTTGCCTGTACCCACCTGTCAGCCTTTCTCCTGACGATAGTCCTGCTGATTTTTCTCTGTGTTAGTCTCTCTCTCTACCAGCTACCCTGGCAGCCCCCAGTGCCAGCATCTGTGTCGTTCCCCCGCTTCCCGACTCACTGCCATCGTAGTCCAGGGTGGCGAACTGGGCCGTCTCGTTGCCGCAGCCAGCGCTGTTGCACGCCCTCATGCGGAGCTCGTACCACGTGGCCTCTCGCAGTTCGGTCAGAAATACCTCCCCAGAGGTGTTGGCCCGGAGGCCCTGCCAGGCCCAGGTGCCCTTGGGCCGGAACTCCAGTGCGATGGCCGTGATGGGGCAGCCCCCGTTGCTCCAGCCCTGCAGGTTCAGCCGCGCGTGCGTGGAGTTGATGTGGGTGAAGAGATGCTGGTCTTTGCTGAAGGAGGGCTCTGGGGGCCAGAGGAGAGAGGGGTCAGAGAGACTGGGAGGGGAGGGAGTCAGGCATCTGGGCTGGCCCAGGTCCCCGGGGACTGCAGCGGCTCCAGGGGGCAGTGGTTGGCACAGGTGGCGGTGAGATGCCCAGGGAAGAGGAGGGGGAGAGGCGGGAAGACTGGAGAGAAGGCCTCGGCAAAGGAGGGAGATGCAGGCAGAGGAAGAGAGGCACAAGCACCTGCCACCCCAGTGGGGAAGGGGGACCCGTGTTTCCTACTGGGATTCGTCCAGACGCCGAGCTGAGGGGAGCTCGGCGGCATCTCCCTGTAGCCTCCCGCCTCCCTGCGCCCTCCTGCCCGCCATGTCACCCGGCCTCACCCCGCCCGTGGGTCTTGGCCTCGATGATCTCGCTGATGCGCCCGGAGCCCACGCTGTTCTTGGCCGCCAGCTTCACCTTGTACCACGTGCCGCACTTGAGACTGTCCAGCTTGAAGGCCCGCTCGCTCGAGCTGATGAACACGTCCTTCCACTCCTCGCTGTTGTCCACCGAGTACTGCAGCACGAAGCCTGCGGGGAGGTTGGCCTGGCTCAGGGCGAGATACTGGCCAGGGAACTGGCCTGCTTTACACAGGGCTCGGCGGGGGGGGGGGGTCTGCTCATTGGGAGGGGCCCATGCACTTCAGAGCAAACCTGGGAGAGCCTGGGTGAGTGTTACCGCTCTCTCTGCAGCTCTAAAGCTGGAGTTTAGAGGCCAAAGCTGCTGCTTGCGGGGGGGGGGGGGGCCGAAAACAGCGCCGGTGTGTTTGCAGGATCCCTAGCTAGCTCCTCT